TAGGCTTCCTGTTAGACTTGTAAGGTCTCTTCCTTGGTTTTCCTTTCTTTGTTAGAGTCCCGGAAGAACCAGCCTCATAGAAGCCAGCTCTATTTACCGTTGGACCAACCTGAAAAGGCCCAGTTTCATGATTCCAAGTAGGAGCCTCACTCATTGTAACACGCGGATCAGGTTTCCAAACCATTGCATCACCAGAAGTTAAAGCATTACTCATAAGCTTATCCTTCGATAAGGTTCTGTCTCCTATATTAATTRAAGCAGAAGAGTCATAGTTGAAAACTAAGCCTTTACCCTTGTTTGTGGATTGAGAGATGATAGGCGCCGGTTCCAACCTCAGAATACGCCTCGTAGCAATCGGATCTTTCTCCACTTCAGCCACAGTTTTCTTAAYCTTTAATTCTTTTAAGATTTGAGGCTCTCAATTTATTTCTCATTTTTCTTTGCTCCGGTTAAATTCAAATATTTTTTGAGGTTCCAGAATCTAAGTCGTTTCCTATTACGACCAAAAAAAAAAGAAAGTCGTTTCCTATTTTTCATTTGTTTTGGGTCAATAATATGTACTGTGGCTTGCGGAGATTTAAAAATTAATGTAATAAAATATGTAATAATTTTAATTTATTGATTATTTGTGTATTTAATATTATAAAAATATTATTGTAATAAATAATTATCTAGATTAGAAGATTAAATATTTGGAGCAAAATTTTTAGGTAGGTAACTATTATTTTAAAACAAAAAATCACAAAAATAAAATCACAAAAAATTTTAATAAAAAGAATCGCTGAATTAATTGACATCGATTAATTAATTTCACATTATATTTTTGATTAATGTAACCATTTTTTTATTAAAATTTTTTGTGATTTTATTTTTTTGACTTTTTGTTTTAAAATAGTAGTTACCTACCTAAAGTTTAAATTTGTTTTTACAGTATATTGTTGTGTTTAAGAAATAAATAAATATTTTTGAAACCGTTAAAAGTTCACAATAACACATTTAATTTGAAATTATAATTTTTGGTGGATATCAAAAAGATAAAAAAAATTAATGGTTAAAATATTATTGGCTCATTGACTTATTATATTGAAATTGGTCATCTTTATGTTATATTTTAATATTGGAATTAATTGTTAAATTTATTTAAAATATTTATTTTTTGCAATAAAAAAAATTAGAAAACAAATATTAAAAAATAGATGACACATGATTTTTTTTAGAAAAATGTTAAAATATTATATAAAATATGATTATGTTTGAGGCAGGTTCTAATACAGTAAGGTGATTTTGGCTTTTGAATAGTCGCAAGGAGATCTTATTTTATTCACATCAATGAATTTAATGTAGATCTAAACCCTTTTTATATATTAAAAAATATTTTAGATGTTTGTCCCAAAAATAGAACGATTTGATGCACAAACGAATTGTTGACTCTCTTCGTTGCAACTTGCAACCATTAAAATCTTTTGAAAAGATTGATGTATTTACAATCAAGTGA